AAGCTGGCTAGACATGTAGCAGTACGATAAGATTGACATGTACATGTTTCTATCACATGTACATATTCAAACAATGGACCATTGTCATCAGTAGCCAGTATCTATAATAAAGAGGTACATACTGACTGGAATTCATTTTATCATATACTAAAGGTCATATAAGAGACTATACTAGATATCAGCTACTGAATGATGAATACCTTCCAGTGTTTGGTCCTTGTTGCTGCTATTGGATTCATCATTACTACTACTACTACAGTGTCTGCTGCAGAAAACATTTGCTACAGTGATACAGAATGCCAGGATAATGTAACTGCAGTAAGTTCAGTGATACATTATACTATACACTACCATGATAATAATTATGTGCAGTGGACTATAGGATAAAGGGTCAATTTCAATGCAAGTCAAAAACAGCCTAACATTTGGCAAAGTTATGACTTTTTTCCAACTATGCTGCCACATGTTAATATTTTTATACATTTACAATACATTGGAGGTCCTTTTGGTGTTTTTCATAATGTCCCAAGCAAAGCCTATAGTCCACTAGCTATACACTCAGTGATTATTATTATGTATCTCATTATAGTCTGATCACTGCTGTGGTATCCCTGGAGTCAAAGCTTTTGGAGTATTTATAACACCGTTTAATATAATGTGCATGAGGTGCTAGCAGTAGCTGAGAGATCAAGAAGGTCTGAGAAGGAACTGTACTTTCAATAAATAAATTAATATTTACTAACAATAAATAAATATTTTAAAATTGATAATAAAGTTAAAGTTAATTTTTGATGGATACAGCCACTGCCATAAATTATAATGATTGAGTGTACTACACTGTACATAGCCAGACACAAACTATGAATATACTCTAGCTATAAGATGTATCTCCATACACTTATCATTATTGATACTGCATGGCTACTGATGACAATGGTCCATTGTTTGAATATGTACATGTGATAGAAACATGCACATGTCAATCTTATTGTACTGTGCCAACATTGGTGCCAAATTTTTCACTATAGACTATAGAGTTTATCCACAACTACTGGCACTAACCTAAAGTTGGCAAGACATGTTGTAATACGATAAGATTGACATTTACATGTTTCTATCACATGTACATCATTCAAACAATGGACCATTGTCATCAGTAGCCAGTATCTATAATAAAGAGGTACATACTGACTGGAATAGTTATTCATTTTATCATATACTAAAGGTCATATAAGAGACTATACTAGATATCAGCTACTGAATGATGAATACCTTCCAGTGTTTGGTCCTTGTTGCTGCTATTGGATTCATCATTACTACTACTGCAGTTACCGCTAAAAACATTTGCTACAGTGATACAGAATGCAAGGATAATGTAACTGCAGTAAGTTCAGTGATACATCATACTACATTATCATGACAGTAATTATGTGCAATGGGGCAATGGGCTATAGGATAAAGGGTCAATTTCAATGTAAGTCAAAAACAGCCTATAACATTTGGCAAAGTTATGACTTTTGTCTAACTATGCTGCCACATGTTAAGATGTTTAGACATGCATGTACAATAGATTGGAGGTCCTTTTATGGTGTTTTTCATAATTCCCCAAGCAAAGCCTATAGTCCACTAGCTATACACTCAGTGATTATTATTATGTATCTCTTTATAGTCTGATAACTGCTGTGGTATCCCTGGAGTCAAAGCTTTTGGGATATTTCTAACACCCTTTGATATAAAGTGCATGAGGTGCAAACAGTAGCTGAGAGATCAAGAAGGTCTGAGAAGGAACTGTACTTTCAATAAATAAATAAATATTTACTAACAATAAATAAAATATTTTAAAATTGATAATAAATTTAAAGTTAATTTTTGATGGATACAGCCACTGTAGCTACTGGCCATAAATTAGAATGATTGAGTGTACACACTGTACATATATAGCCAGACACAAATTATGAATATACTCTAGCTATAAGATGTATCTCCATATACTTATCATTATTGATACTGCATGACTACTAATGACAATGTTTGAATATGTACATGTGATAGAAACATGTACATGTCAATCTTATCGAACTGCAACATGTCTTACCAACTGTAGTCACACCATACAACCATAGCTATACTACATCCAAAATTAACAAAAACTGTTTTATGTAACTTTATTAACTATCAGTTCTGGAATAGTTAAGATAATAATTGTTAATTGTTAATAAAATAACATTTATTTATTTATTTATTGAAAGTACAGACTCTTTCCTTCTCAGAACTTCTTCCTCTCAGCTACTTTTGCACTCATAGCAGTGCATACCTTCCTCGCCAGGTTCAACTATTCCATAAGACTGTATATCAGGGAGGCTACAGCAGTCCTCAGACTATAAAAAGATACATAATAATAATCACTACTAGTGGACTATAGACTTTGCTTGGGGAATTATGAAAAACTCCTAAAGGATCTCCTATGTATTGTACAGTGTAGCTGTTAGGTTGTTTTTTTACTTAAATGACACTTTATCCTATAGTCCACAGATCATAATAATTCATCATGATAGTGTAGTGTGATCTATCACTAAACTTACTATAGATGCATTATTCTTGCAACCTGTATCCCTGAAGCACAAAGCAGCAGTGCCAGCATACACTGTAGTAGTAGTAGTAATGATGAATCCAATAGCAGCAACAAGGACCAAACACTGGAAGGTATTCATCATTCAGTAGCTGATGTATAGTCTCTTATATGACCTTTAGTATATGATAAAATGAATTCCAGTCAGTATGTACCTAGATACTGGCTACTGATGACAATGGTCCATTGTTTGAATATGTACATGTGATAGAAACATGCACATGTCAATCTTATCGTACTGCTACATGTCTTGCCAAATTTAGTCACACCATACAACCATAGCTACTACACACATTCATAATACTACAACTGTCAATGTATAGCCTATGGTGACTAGTACATTATCATTAGCCACTATCCTCTCTGTCTCTCTTCAGTATAAACACACTGGAGAGTGTTAGCTATAGGAGATAAAATACATTCATGTCAATGATTATTATGTGCAATGTATGACTGTACATCATTTACTGTTTATAAGTACATGCACTGGACAGGATGAATGAGTGTAGTAGCTATAGTTGTATGGTGTGACTAAAGTTGGCAAGACATGTTGCAGTACGATAAGATTGACATGTACATGTTTCTATCACATGTACATATTCAAACAATGGACCATTGTCATCAGTAGACAGTAGGTCATTTTTTAAATTAGCAAATTCTAAAATATACCCTGTACTATATCCCATGGTTTTTTCCAAACAATGGCTCCAAAATCACCCAATTTCTTATTAAATTTTCTGATACATACATGTATTGATGTCCTTATGCTGTGCAGAAAGTTTGAGCTGAGTATTCACAAGATCTTGTGCAATAATTCAAATAATAATTATAATAATTAATTATTAGTTACAAAGGTATGTTCCCGTGTTTCTTATTAAAAGTGTGTTGGGTTTTAGTGGAAAGAAGCTCCAGGTCAGTAATGAGACGCCTTCTAGTGGTACTAGGCATTATAATATCATCAATGAATCCTAAAATGAATATTATTAATGGTAAGAAATGGAGGGAGGTCTCACCTCTAGCAGCTGCTTGTAAAGGAGTGCATAAAGTTGATTCATACTCTGCTTGTAACTTTAATAATTCTAATAAATAAATAAATAAATAATAATAACAATAATCATAAATAGTAATAATAATAATAGCAATAATAATAATCAATACCTTCTTGAGTCTTTCCACGATATAAAATAGCAACAGCTCCCTAATAATAATAATAAGTATTATTATTATTATTATTATTATTATTAATTACCTTTGCTCCCATTACTGCTATCTCAGCAGTAGGCCAGGCATAATTAATGTCACCTCTTAAATGTTTGGAGCTCATCACATCATAAGCTCCACCATAAGCCTGCCAATGACAAACCAACAGTAAATTAGTAGAACTGACAACTGAATGTAGCAATAACTTAAAAACAGTTTAAATCATTATGAGCTGTAGTCTCAATACATTATGTACATTTATATTGAATTGCAATTTCCCCATTACAAATACATGTACAGGCTAGCCTCTATATAATGGATACTTTGAAAGTGTCTCTGTTATACAGAGGTGTCCTTTATGTGGAGGTTATTTTATACAGTAAGGAATGTAATTGGTACACTAGGTGCTGTCCGTTAAATGGAGGTGTACGCTATAGAGAGTGTCCATTAAGAGAGGCTATACTGCATTGCTAAGTAAAATCTTCTGTTACTAAATATAGATTTGCTACTGTTACTATTAATAGTAACACTCATTCTTACTTTTCTGGTGATTACAGTTAGTTTAGGTACAGTAGCTTCAGCATAAGCATACAATAGTTTAGCTCCATGTCTAATAATACCACCATACTCCTGATCAGTACCTAATATAATAATAACAACAACAACAATAATAATAATGATAATAACAACAACAACAACAACAACAACAATAATAATAATAATAATAATAATAATAAACAACTGAACATTTCATTTCATAATAATGATGATGGTGATAATTATTATCATAATTGATTGATGAACTGTATAAGTTTGATAACAAAGGTCTTTGGCCTTATTGATGAGTAACTTTAAAAGTTTATAAAAAATTAATACTTGATCAAAATAAGCTCAAACTTCCTACACAGCATAAATACATCGATATGTATCAGAAAACGTAATAAAATTTTGGGTTTAATATGTACATGTGATAGAAACATGTACATGTCAATCTTATCGAACTGCAACATGTCTTGCCAACTTTAGTAACACCATACAACCATAGCTACTACACTCATTCATCCTGTCCAATAATACTACAACTGACAATGTATAGCCTATGGTGACTAGTACATTATCATTAGCCACTATCCTCTCTCTCTCTCTCTGAGCATATGTTACGCATAATAATCATAGGCCCTGTATATCTAGTGTCAGCACACATGTAACTATACTGTTCATAACTGTACTGATTTTACATGTAAGTACACAGGATGAATGTGTGTAGTAGCTATGGTTGTATGGTGTGACTAAAGTTGGCAAGACATGTTGCAGTATGATAAGATTGGCATGTCACTGATGTCAGTGGCATCGTAGGAAGCTGGGGGGCAGGAGCACCCCTTAATTTTTATTCTACTTCATTAACTCAGTCAGTCTATTAATTTATTTATTAATTATAACTTCATTTTAGCCCCCCCTTCTCCAAAATCTTCCTACGCTGCTGCATGTACATGTTTCTGTCACATGTACATATTCAAACAATGGACCATTGTCATTAGTAGCCAGTATCTATAATAAAGAGGTACATACTGACTGGAATAGTTATTCATTTTATCATATACTAAAGGTCATATAAGAGACTATACTAGATATCAGCTACTGAATGATGAATACCTTCCAGTGTTTGGTCCTTGTTGCTGCTATTGGATTCATGATTACTACTACAGAGGCTCTACGAAAAAAGCATTGTTGCCATGATACAGAATGCAGGAATACTGTATCTTTAGTAAGTTCAGTGACACGTTGTCATTTAAATTAAAAAACAGCCTAACAGTTGACTGAGTTATGATTTTGCATGTATGTACAATACATTGGAGAATACTTTTGGTGTTTTTCATAATTCCCCAAGCAAAGCATATATATAGTCCACTAGCTATACACTCAGTGATTATTATTATGTATCTCATTATAGTCTGATGACTGCTGTAGTATCCCTGGAGTACAATCTTATATGTTATTTTATGATAATGGTTTTATGTACTGCTACCAGTGCAAGTAGCTGAGGGAAAGAAGCTCTGAGAAGGAAAGACTCTGTACTTTCAATAAAATAAATAATTACATGATTTAATCTTAACTATTTCAGACCTGATAATAAAGTTACATACAAAACAATTTTTATTCAATTTTGATGGATACAGCCACTGTTGCTACTGGCCATAAATCATAATGATTGAGTGTACTACACTGTACATAGCCAGACACAAATTATGAATATACTCTAGCTATAAGATGTATCTCCATATACTTATCATTATTGATACTGCATGACTACTGATGACAATGGTCCATTGTTTGAATATGTACATGTGATAGAAACATGTACATGTCAATCTTATCGTACTGCAACATGTCTAGCCAACTTTAGGCTAACTTAGTACCAATAAACTGATAGACTCTATAGTGATAATACTAGCATCACTACAGAATCTGTAAAACCATGGGCTATAACCTTGGGTATTTTTCAGAATTTGGGCATTTTCTTAAAATGGCCGTAACTTGAAAATTTGAAGTCGGAATCAGCTCAAACTTGCTACACAGCATAAAGACATCAATATGTATCAGAAAATCTAATAAAAATTTGGGGTGATTTCGGAGCCATTTTTTGGAAAAAAACCATGGGCTATAGCCTTGGTTATTTTTCAGAATTTTGGCGTTTTCTTAAAATGGCCATAACTTGAAAAGTTGAAGTCGGAATGGACGTCAATATGTATCAGAAAATCTAATAAAAATTTGGAGTGATTTCGGAGCCATTTTTTGGAAAAACCATGGGCTATAGCCTTGGGTATTTTTCAGAATTTTTGGCATTTTCTTAAAATGGCCGTAACTTGAAAAATTGAAGTCAGAATCAGCTCAAACTTGCTACACAGCATAAGGACATCAATATGTATCAGAAAGCATTATAATTACTCATGGTTACCTGGTAGGAATCCCGGTACATCAACGAAGGTTATCAGTGGAATACAAAAAGCATCACAGAACCTAACAAAACGAGCACCTTTCACTGATGCATTAATATCCAAACAACCTATTAATAATAATAATAATAATAATAATAATAAATTTAAATAATAATAATAATAATAATAATGATGATAATGATGATGATGATGATAAACTTGGTAGTGTAAGCCATTAATAAACTTAGAATCAAGCAATCTGATTGGTCAATTACAACTACAGACTAGCCTCTATAAAATGGACACTTAGAAAGTGTCTCTGTTATACAGAGGTGTCCTTTATGTGGAGGTTATTTTATACAGTAATGAATGTAATTGGTACACTAGGTGCTGTCCGTTAAATGGAGGTGTACGCTATAGAGAGTGTCCATTAAGAGAGGCTATACTGTACATGTACATACATACAACACTAACAACTGACCTGCTTTTTGATTGGGCTGGTTAGCAACCACACCCACTGTCTGTCCGTTCAACCTGGCAAATCCCACAATTATATTCCTAGCGTAGTCGGGCATTATTTGGAAGAACTCTTCCTCGTCTACAACAGCTTTGATGATGTCAGACATATCATAAGGAGTGTCAGAGGAAGGAGGAATGATGTAATTGAGAGCAGTGAGATCACGATCACTATAATAATAATAATAATAATAATAATGATAATTGGGAGTGGTGTCAATGAGGATTAGTGAATGGATCAAGAGAGCAGATGTGAAGTTAAAGATCGAACACTTACAGAAAACAGCATTATTGGGGACTGCAAGAATCTTAAGGAGACATTTAAGCATGTGATTTATATCATAGTCTATTTGTTATAGACTGATATTGTACATATACCAACTTAGTGTTGTGTGATTACATGAATATAATAATAATAATAATAATAATAATAATAATAATAATAATAATAATAATAATAATACTGTCAATATATACATGTACTATATAACTTTAATTTTGCTGGATAAGAAATTCACAAAAAGTAGATGACACATAATAAATTACTCATGTACATGACACAATCTTATTACACGTACAGTGTATGTAAAAATTAAGTCATGGCACAATTTCTAAACCATAGGTTCCCAGATATACACAGTAATCAATACATGTACATGTACATACATACATAAATATTACATGTACATGTACTTACATTTTATCGCTAGTTTGTCTAACTGGTACTGGATCTTTATTACTTAATGGAAGGTAATCTATCAACTCTCTTAACCTTTAAAATAAACAAACAAACAAATAAATAAATAAACAAATATATAAAATAATAAATTAATTAATTATACTAACTGTGATAGTGCATCAATGTCATTCTCAAATGCTCCATGGGCCACACCTACTCGTTAATAGTAATAATAACACCCACACAGTTAATTAATAATCACCAGATTTCTTAGTGTGTGTCAAAGCCCCACCCAGTTCTTGATCTGATACAACCTCGTTAGTCACTTCCTGTAATACAATTTTATTAATTTTTAAATTGTATTTATTTTTTATTTTTTCTTACTTCAACTACTTTGGGGCCAGTAACAAACATGTACGAGGTATCCTAGCAACAGATATAAAGTCACACCTACAAACCACGCCCACCATACCTTAACCATGAATGTAAAATCAGTAATAGCAGGAGAATATACTGCACCACCTACACAACAAAACGATAAACAACAACAATAAACAACAACAACAATGTCAATATTAATTTATAGTGTAGCCTCTATATAATGGACACTTTGAAAGTGTCTCTGTTATACAGAGGTGTCCTTTATGTGGAGGTTATTTTATACAGTAAGGAATGTAATTGGTACACTAGGTGCTGTCCGTTAAATGGAGGTGTACGCTATAGAGAGTGTCCATTAAGAGAGGCTACACATTACCTGCACAAGGTCCCATTATTAATGATATCTGTGGGACTACTCCTGAGGACATCACATTACGCTATTAATAAAAAAATAATCAAGTAAATAAATAAATAAATAAACAAACAAACAAATAAACAAATAAAAAACACTAATACTAATACACTAACCAGGAATATATCAGCGTATCCAGCTAGTGAGTCCACTCCTTCTTGTATCCTGGCCCCTCCAGAGTCATTGAGACCAATAATGGGAGCACCTACTGATACTGCCTTATCCATTATCTATTAATAATAATAACAACAACAACAATAATAATAATAATAGTAATAATAATAGTCTGGCCCATACTACTATTAACTACCTACTCTCTATATTAATAATAATAATAATAATAATAATAAAAGCACAATTAATTAGGGTAGTACAGGTGAGCCCCACTCAAGCAGTCTGCCAGTCTACATGTACTTGAATGTAACACTCCATTAATGAGTATTAGTAGAGATACCAGTACACTGTACTATAGCATGCATTACTAATGAAGAATGAGTCTATTGTTCAATATGTCCATTGTAGCCACAATAGAGTAAAATGGCATAGATATTTTAGCATTGTATAATAGTACAGGATCTATCATTATCTGTTCATAGATCCAGTGCTATATACTGTATGTGTATATCATTAACAATTTGCTATAGCTTCATCCATTAAATGTTGTACATGTACATATTGTTCTGGTTCATTAATATTCATTATTATTATTATTACCTTACATATCTTACGAGCATGCATACTTGATAGACTACCACCAAATACTGTGAAATCCTATCACTAATAATAATAATAATAATAATAATCATAATAATATATAAA